GATGATTCCGAGCAAAAAATTTTCACTTGCGTGTTTAACTTCTAATAGCTCTAAGTTGAATGTAGGTTAGATAATATTTTACTGTTATGATAAATCTCTCATACCCACATGGTTTTTTTTTACCCATTACGCGAGGTTCCCCATGGATCGCGTGACTCCGCTTGTTATAATTGAGTGTTCAAAAAAAGACCGCCCTCCTCGCCCCCCTCCCCTCTCCCCCATGTTTGTCAGCAGTGAGGTAGCACTTCTGCATGCAGTAAGCCGAAGGTCCGACTTTGCCGGTAAGGCAACCAATCCCCCACGTTCCGTTCATTCGTTTCGATGGTAAATTGGTACTGGCATACGCCTGAGAGCCAAATCTGTCAGCAGCATGCTTAAAAGCAAACAGCAGCCTTGCCAAGGGGTAGTTGTTGCTGACATTTGCAACTACTCGGATTACCTTCTCCTGCCTTTGCCTCTCGCTGGGAGAAAATATTAGGATGGTTTTTGACTTTGACTAAAATCCCATTTCCTTTTCCCCACAAAATCCGAAATGGTGTGCGATGGGACGGGAGGGGGGAGGGGGAGGGGTAAAGAAGAGAGAGGCGTGGGAAGAAGGGAACTAACAGAAAGACGGACTTATCTTCTTACAATCAGCGGTATTTTCGATTTCGGTTCTTTGTGTACAATTTCTAATGGATCAGTTTCACCTTCCAATTCGATCATAACTGGTGCGCCCATAGCAATCTGTAGTGCTCTTGTACCAAGAATTCGCGCTCGTTCGTATTTCGTCATGAACGGAGTTGTAACACGTTCGAGTGACGCTGTTTTCGCCCCCTGTAAAACTGTGAATGTAAATTGATGCACACAAACATGTACACTCTTGTCACAGCCTGTACGTCGGAGAATTCAGCTGCTTGTATGGTCGTGATGGAACAGTCCAAGCAACGTTCACATCTTTGCTCGTTCCAGCATCCGCCTGGTGGGTTCCAGCCTAGGTTAACATATATTATGCGAATTTGCGGTGGTTTTGCATAGTCTGGCATTACGATTGAAATTAGGAGCATCATGTCTTTAGCTACAGCACCCTACTTATGTGCTGTAATGATAAAGCATAATAGCCACAGTTTTTTTAGTTATTTTGCTACGACAAGATGTTGTTGCTTGCTTAGCCTGATACGCAGTTTTGTCACAGTTTGATACCCAGCCCTTTGCCATACATTAACAATTTACAGCGATTGTTTTAACTAGTGAAAGGTTACGTTTGACGTTAACGCAGTCGCTCAGTGGGACCAGCTGCACTAGCTACATCAGCAACTGTATGTGTTCTATAAAGCACTGTTCATAGCTGCTTGGACCTTTACTTTGTTAATACTCGCTTTTTATGCATCTTTGCTGTTTAGCGCTAGAACGCTACAACAAACAGCAAAAACGCATGTTGCAACGACCTTGCATGTGTGTGTGTGTATGTTCGTCTAACCGGGTATTTCTACTCAGCAACCATGCAAATTTTGATGTTGAAATTTTGCTAGTGTGTGCCGTGACCAGGTACAACCCCAGGACCATGGTACCAACTGTCACGCACGTAGTACAGGCACGTGAAAATTTCGGCGGGAAAACTGCTAACCCGAGGACGAAGAAAGTTAGAAGGCTGAAACTTTAGGGCAATGCTCCTTACCCATGCATAAGCAAAAGCCTTGAAATCCAGTTCCTTAGAACTGCCCATGTCTTATGTGCGGCCACGTGAAATTTTGACGGGAAAATTGCTAACTCGGGTATGAGAAAAGCTGAAAGGCTGGAATTTAAAGGGAATATTCCTTAC